TGTGACAGTTAAGGTGTGATGGGAGGATATAGGAAATGTGACTAGCACACGTTTGGTCAAAGGATCGGCTTCGCTTGTCCCTTTGACGAGTCTGTAATATGGTGCAACGAATGGCGAAACTCACTCACGATGCCAAATACGATGCCGGCGAAATGTCTGGGAATGTACCACGTCCTCCGTCCTACTCTGGAAATAATGATGAATACAATGGACTCCGGACTAGGCGCGTTCCTCTAAGTCTTCCTACCAACATGACCACGTTGCGAAAACAAGGTCAAACAACTTCTATACAACGAAAGGAGACTGCGACCACACAAAAGGTCTTCATACGTTAGAAGAGATTCGTAGGTTTATCTCACCAAAGGACGACGGCTTAATGCCGATGTTCTGCAACCGTTTGAATTTAATACGACCAACCAAACGGCTGCAGTACAACGTGAGTCAGTCGTCGTGACATCAACCTACGAATCACTTTCTCATGCACTTTCATACGAAATGAAAGTCTAACCGACAATAATACATGATAGCACTTAAATGATTTAGCGGAAAATAAAAATTGCCAAGACATTTAAAAATTGTGCTTGGAAGTTTTTTTTAAATTGGCCTGATATTTTCAATTGCTTATTCAATTATTAAAAATGCCCATACATTTTTTCCACATAATTCAAGGCAAGTTCGAAGCCTTTCGCTTATAGTTAATTATTATATGTCTGTTGCCCTCACATTTTCCTTTTTTGTGTTCCCTTATTCCTCACTATTATTCGTATCCTCTAAATAGCCCTATAATTTCAAAAATCGGCTTTTATCAAAGCTACTAAATAAGGAATTCAAAAAAGAAGATATATATATCTCAAAAGCCTAAAAACGAAATTTTTCGTCTTGTTTTTTCTAATCAAATTTGTAGAGTTAAAATAGTTATCATTGGTTCATTAATATTTAAACAGTTACTTCCAGCATTCATAAACTGTCTGGCTTAGGAAATGGGTGGAATTAAAGAAATTTTGCTATAGAGCATTAGGTTGGGACCACTTAACAATTATTTTGCGGTGATAATCTCATTATAGCGGGAACTTTCTATATAAGGAAAAATAGATGAATTGACAACTCTGGTTGGAAGGTTGGACTTGAAAGGTTAGGCAAAATTTTTAAGTGCTTGGTGAAATAATGTATAAAGATAAGTTGATACTTTCTTTGAATTATGCATCCCATTTTTATAGGTTAATTTATTTTAAGGGTTCTGAATTGGAATTTAGTTAAGCACATGACTAACATTCAGCACCCAAATAATGTTGCCAAGCTTAAAGTTTTGTAACAGTTAAGGGTCAAATTGTTATAAACACCTTTAATCAAATAGATTATTGTGGAGTTCTTAATTAAAACCCTAGATGGTCAGAAAAACGTTAAAAATAGATTATGAAGAGATATCGAAATGTGGCTAAATTAGAGTTAACACAGTGTGACGCAGTATTATGCTTATTTATATTGCATATTTGAGTATATACTACCGATTGCAGGTTCCACTAACTCAAATTCTAGCAGGCTCTATCATTTTTATCGTGTGAATACAGAAAGTTATCATCGTTTACTAAAATCACATTGAGGCTGTACGGGGGTCTATCTACTTTCAGCTGCGCGATGTGCTATCACTTCATTATTAGTTGAAACTATTTTTCTGAGCATAGTGTTCAAGCTTTAAAATTTCATTTTCTAAGAAGCTTAAGCTACCATCAAAGTGAAAGTTAAAGGAGAGTAAGTATTTGAAATAAAACAGTTCCCAGTCTTTCATTTTTATGGCGTTAACTAAGGGCGGATACAGTAAACTTCCTTGTGCAGATCAATGGCCCAGAAATGTGAAATAAATAAGATAACTATCTCCTCTTCCCTTCAGAGGAAATTAACCCGATCTGTATATGTATTCCGGTTCCAGCAGATACTTGTGAATTAAAATGGTCAATGAATATGAAGTTAAAGATAGTGTGGCTTTACCTTGTATCTTAATTGCCTTATTCTTCACGATCAAGTTGTGAGCGCGTGGTCATCTGAACTTTAAACTGGCAATAACTTTCCTGATTCCATTTTTTCCATCCTAATTGTCCCTTATATTACATTCTTACTTTTGATTTGACAAACAGTATTTTGCCTTTATACAGAAATTGTGACCAAGATTTTGGTCCCTAGAACGTGACTCAAGCTTTCATCATATCCATTTTGCCGAAGTTTATGGCGAGTATATTAAGGCAGATATGAAGATGATGTATACAATATACATTTAATTATTAAATGAGCCAAGACTAATCTAGGTATTTACCAGGCTTGGTTCAGCTAATTAATTTAGTATGAGGGAGCTGAATAAATTCGTCTGACACCTTACTGATACATCTATTTCTGTTATCGCGACAGTCGATAAGAAATTGATAATTTTCCTCTTTGATATTTTATGTTAGCCATGCCCTGTAATTAACATAATTGCACATTTTAATTATTTAATTCTAAAATCCCTCTATACATTATCCAACTATGTGATTAAATCTTATATTTTTATTATAGTTATAAATTATTTTGAATACCATACATGTGTAATTTCAAAGCGGACTTAGCAAATATTTACACATTTAAATAAAAATACTCCTAACCAGTGCACACAGTCTTGTCGCATAGATTCATGGACTACAGCAATTTAGCAATCTAAATCTTCTAATTACGCAATGATATTTCAGCACTAGTACGTGTTTTGGGATACTCTAGTTAACATTTCTGTTAATATTCTGCTTGAAAGTTTATAATACTATGTGTTTGTTAGCCTTATGCTTGCATCACTTAGCTTAGAAGCTCTTTATCCCTTTCCATAATACTCAAAATTCTTAGCAATCCCCCTCAGATTAATTAATAATATGTAAAAGAATTCTTTGAGCTACAGAGTATTCTTAGTCCTGTAAACTCCATCTATTCCCTCTTATTATATTCACACGCAACAATCCTCTACAATTTCATTAATCTGTTTGTTGATTCCCATTTGTCACTAATGATAACGAATGAGTAACAATCAGACATTTTATGAATACTAATGCGTAGCTATAGAGCCAATATCATATATGCATTTGTATAGATAGATAGATAGATAGATGTATTTACTTATCAGGGTTAGATAATATTACCGAATTTAGGCCTATAAAATGGCGACTAGTCTCAAATGAGATGTCAAAATTCGATTGTAGGCCAAGGCCAAAGAATAGCCTATTCCTTTACTATCTTACACTATAAATTCCCCTATCAAAGAAAAACGATCTATGAAAAATGTCAAACCTTCTTATTCTAACCTTTTAAATAAATTAATCGCAAGTAAATATTATGGAAAAAATAATTCCGCTATTGCAAAAATTTAAAAGAGGTGTGATCCCAAAAAGTTTATAAGAAGAGATTTGTTCGAGAAATTCTACTATAACCCACAATTTGTATAAATTTAACTAAGTTAATCACAATTCATCCGCTTTTTGACCCTACTTCTAAACTTTGACCTATGTAGCATAACTAGCGTCCTATTTTTAACCTCAGCAGATACCTAATAACACTATGATAATTTGGCATGGCTTAAGCAATTTTGAATTAATAAAGACCTTTCCCAATTTAATCGTCCTTTTATAAAGACTTTGGAGAAGCACCCTATATCACATTCTTTTCCATTCCTGATGTATTCTTGCACCTTTGGACTGTTGATGGATTACATCTCAGATTTCGTCAATTTTGTGTCAAGCATCCTTTGCTATAGGTTCCCCATCCCCTCTGTTAGGATTTTTTATATGAACAAATAATTTAACCTAGCCATCATAATTAAACAAAATATATCAGCTGATACCTCATGCGCCATACAATTAGTAGTTTACGTTGCTAGCTTAGAATTTTCTATTTATCTCAGTTTTCACCTCCTTCCTATTTAAGGAGTTAGTCAAATCGTTGGCCCCGATTTACGAAAGTACTTATGTAATAGATCCCCTGAGGACGAATCCAAAGTAAGGATTTACATCTTTTATATTCCTCTGTAGATCACATTCGTGACAAATTCGTGTACATTGTTATAAGGAAAAAGTAACATCCCATTCTCTAGACTCCCTCACCCATGCACCAATTTTACTATCAATGAATCTACGATAGTATTCGTTTGAATGAAAAAAAAAGATTATAAATATGTACAAAATGTATCTTTCGAGACTATCATTAGATCCTATCAGAGGTCATGATGCTTATTTGATAACATGGCCTTTAAATCATTGTTGTTCTTAATAATAATGCATTAATAGCTTTGTATTGAATCATATCATATATAAATCCATATTTTTAATCTCTCTAGTTATCACCCGAATTATCTTGCTGCATCTATATAAAAGCTACATGAGAATATTGATAAAGTACATATTTTAGTTAATGCGAGAGAATTTCGGATGAATTTAATAACACAAGATTTTTTTGTTCTTATAAGCTAGAATAGCGAAAAAAGCTAATAAATTTGAATATAAAAATGTATAAAATATGAAATCATCCGAGAGCTTAAATCTATTGTGCTCCGATCGTGATTTTAATATAATAATCGAAGCCCTGATAATATATCTGAAACCTATAAAACAAGAGTTGTTAAAATAAATGCCAAATGCTTCTTGATAGCGAAAGCACGAACGATTCCTATATCATTATAAATACTACATAAAATATCAAGTTCGCATTAAATACAATAGCCGATCCTCCAACGTAAACGAAATGTTTTATTTCGAATTACCTCATTAATTAATTGTGACATATGAATTAAAGTTCGCAGGTTAAATTTTATACTATATTGCAAGTAAAATTGTAACCACACATGATTTTAAAGCTATTTATACCTTCAATAAAGTTGCTTAATCTACTTTAAATGTATTAAATTATTTTTATATTATTGTAAGTAATATGTTAATCAAGTTGTTTTATAGGGTTCATTCGCGCGCCTACCATTTTTATTCTCACGCTTCTAAATGCGCCCCGTTCTCTCCTTCTTTATTATCCCTGAAGTCTATAGTCGATATGTCGACGTATCTACGGATTATTTCAAAAAATGTTGCAGCAAAATTTTTAAGAAGTTGACTAAAGGTGATTTTGTCGCTAAGCGTCGTTTCGTGAAAGTTGAAGAGGAGTCGGGAGATTCATATACTCTTGACCTAGTTGGTGAGTCCAACCCTCCGACTGGGTATATTCTGCTTGCTCAACTCGACGAGGAAGACGGTTCCAAGGATATATCCTCTCTGAAGTGCTTTTATCTAACTATTAAGAAAAATACTTCGGATAGGTGCGTTTTATAACTATTCCCACAGCACGTTGCACATCGGCCTAATTTTTTTTTTTAATTTAAGCTCCTTCGCCCTCTCGGACGCTTCATCGATAGGTAAGTTTCATTATATATGACCGTTTCAGAGCCAGAATCTTCCAGAATTTCTGTTCTCGAGGAGGCGATCACAAAATTAAACGGACTGGTCACTCAATTGATTGAAAGTAAGCTAGATCATTATCGATTTTTATTACTTGATTTCTAGATAAAAATAGTCCGAAATCGACTTATGCAGACACTAGTGAAGCAAAAATAACTAAAGGTAGTTTATTAACTGTGACCTGTGGTAATCCTTCAGTGGTTTTGCGCCATAGTTCATATCTTGTATTAAGTTGTTGTTTCAATATGTTATCTTTTTTTTGCAGTACCAACTCCCGAAACAGATGATAGTCAACCCTCCACAAATGCTTCCTCTGTTGCTAA